CCCCCCCCTGGACCGAGTTTCAAAGCTCGACTGTTGCACAGCCAAGGGGGGCGCGCAAAGTGCCCGATACTTCGACGGAAAGTCTTCAACGAGATGCTTCTCAAGACCACCCTTTCTGGAGTTGGCCCAAAGCTTGGCTGTGGAGAAACCGAAAATCGGTTTAGGGGGAGTGCCATGTCTCCGTCTCTTGCCGTAGTTCTAGTGGTGGTAGGTTCGCGAGCAGGCTGTGCAGGAACCGCACCACATCGGTACAGATTTAACGATTCACGTGATGGCTGAGCACACACAGAACTCAGGTCGGCTATATTTTCCTCTTTCACGGAGGTCCGGTCCAACAAATCTTGTCAAAGATGGCGACCGATCAGAACGGGGGGCAAGACATACCCCTCGACACACAACACGACTATTCAAAGCAGTTGCCCGTCTTTCTCTCTCTCTCTCTCTCCCCCCCCAGAAACACGGCAGTCCCGCAACGAAAACGAGACATTAACTAACCCACCTTTGGATGGCCCTCAGCGTGTGGTTCACCACCGCTGTTGTCGTCGCCGCCGCCGCATCCGTTTCCTCACGGCCGCCGCCGCCGCCGCCGCCACCGTCACCACCACCCACCGCCTCCCCAGATAACGCCTCCCCTAGACTCGACCGCAGCCACTCCATCCCCTCCTCCTCCTCCTCCTTCGGACGAAGCCACCCATCGTCGTTCCCCCGTCTGCCCAGCCCAACCTTTGCCTCGACCTCATCCTTGTTGTTACCGCTGCCGCTGTCGCCGGTCTTCGGCCCCGTCTCGGTTACCGAATCGTTCTTGTTACCATCATCAGCGGCGGACGAAGCTGCTTCTTCGCGGTCAAGGAAGTCGAAGACTCGACGACGAATCTAGTCGAGATGGAGGAGTAACGAGCGACAGCAGAGGGGCGACGTGGTGGTGGTATTGAGGGTTCGGTTGAACGGAGGACCTGTGGGAACAAAAAGACATGCAAGCTCCCATCAACAACTTCGCTTGTACACAACACCGTCTTAGCGACCCCAGTTACAGTCCAGGAGTGCCTACAAGAAAAAAAAACGGCGCAACGATGACACCACACAGTAACACGGCATTAGCAGGTCGTAGCAGTAATCGACAACAAACAACACAGGCGAAAGACACCTCGCCAAGGACAACAGCACGCATGGCACCTCGCCATCAAGCAAGCCCCGCGAGTAGCAGCTCTGCTAAGCCACGTAGCCAAAGCCTTTACCTCGTCCGACAGCGATCCCCTTCGGGCAGCAGTCCCTCCCCCTCCGGACCGTCTCTGAACTCCGCCGCCGCCCTCGTCCACGTTCATGGGACTGCGGCTGCTGCTCCTGCTTCTGCCGGAGGAAGCCCCAGCAGCAGCAGCAGCAGCCGCAGCCGCTATGGCGGCAGCGGCGGCTGCGGCGGCTGCGACGGCTGTACCGTCGTCGTCATCGACCTCCATCGACTCGCCGCCGCCGCTGTTCTTGTTGTTCTTCCGGCCGCTCTTCGCGCGCCGACCTCCGGCTTCCTCCCTCGCTTCCGACGGTCGTGGTGCGCGTCTCGTTCGAGCGCGTGTCGGTGGCGGGGGCTCCGCAAGAAGGAACAGACCCTCCATCTTGATTTTATTTTTTCACGCCGCGGCGGGGGCACAGGTTATCATGCTTCGTCAGATCGTTTCGCGACCTCAGTTCAATTATGCAAACACGCAACCTCTAAGACTTCAACTATATAAAAATGCAACCTCTTACGCATAGCACATGGGGTTATGATGACTGAGTTGACGTTTTATACTGCTAACAAGAAGTTAGACACACTATGTAATTCATGGTACCATATTTGTCTATGCAGTGTAAACGTTTGCACAAACGGGGCTGCTCAGTAATTGCCGGCAAGCTGTTCGGCATTCCAAATATGAACATTCCTGCATCTTTTTTCTGTTTGAGGTTATCGTCGCCGTGTTTTTTACACATTACACGACATCTTTCGTTTCTTCGTCTCCTCAAGCACGGAAAAGGAGGTCCTCCGTCTTCGTCTCCTCAAGTACTGAGGAGGAGGTTCTCCATATAGGAAGGTCCAAAACCGCTTTTAATGTGAAGACGAGACACCACGACCACATGAACATACGAAACAGCAGCAGCAGCAGCAACAACGCTTTCGAATTCTGGACTGAACTAACTTTTAAGTACGGTGGCACCTGAGTCGCCCCATGGCCTCCTCCCTCCAAGAAGCCACGCCCACAACAAACTCAAGCTTCCTACTAGACCGCCAAGCACACACACACACAAACACACAACTTCACCTTGCGCTCCCGCTCTTCTTGCGCAGCCGCTTGGGCCGCCGCTTTTTTCGTCCCGCGCTCGCCCCCGCCGCCCGCCTGCCTGGGCGAATCGGCGAGCCACGCCACGAACAGGCCGTCGCCCTTCTTGCTAGCGCCATCGCCGCCATCACCGCCGCCGCCGCCGCCGCCGCCGCCATCAGCGCCCGCGCCGCCCCCTTGTTGGTCACTGATTCCTTCGTGCGGGCAAAGGTAGGCCCGCACTCTGCACAGGCAGCGGTGGGGGGAGGGAGCGGGGCACGCACGGGAGGAGTACCATTTGTTGAATTGGTGTCGTCGTTGTGGTCATGTTGGCTCAACGATCGCTCTGCCTCCGAACTAGCCACCCAACCGGTGACAACAAAAAATGGGGAGGAGCGTGTTCACAGATCACAAAACAACATCACAATAGAGATGACGATATGCCCGAGAGCCATTCCGTAGAACAGTTCCCGCCCCTCGCAACGAAAAAAAAAAAACTATGTTACAAACCAACCATGGTAACCAGTTGGAGATTTCGCAACCTGTTGAACACCAACACGCAGTCGATGTCAACCTTTGTCCGCCAACACCTCAACACAACGAAAACAACAAGGAAAAACAATAAAACACCTATGACAAAAGCATCAATCAAGGTGCGGCAGTCTAGACGTCGCCTCTGTTGAGCTTCCTTGACCGCACTCGCCTTCGAGAAAGGTTGTGCCGGAGTGTCCTGGTCGACTGCTGGGTGCTGCCCATGTCCCACGTAACCTGTGCATCCGGCGAGAGCAGGTACTGGTAAAGCTCATCTGTGGAGGGGGGAAGAGAGGGGGGCACGCGACGGACAGGGGAGGAGGTTGGCGGGGAGGGGGCAAGAGAGGTTCAATTTATCCACAGAGGCCGAACTTGCTAGCAAGTAATCAGGGGCGAGTAAACCTCAAAAGCCCAGCACAGCATGGCGCAGAACAGCAGTACGCCAAACCCAAAGCAAAAACAATCTGACCCTTACGTAAAACAGAAGCAAAGCCAAAGCACAGCAAACCAAACCAACCCTTGGTACAACAAAGCAAATCACAGCCCAGGAAACCAAACCTTAGTACAAAGCAAAGCCAAGCCAAAGCGCAGCAAACCAACCCAAGGCAACGACGACCCGGGCCTTGCTACGTAGTCATTCCACCCAAAAAGACACCCACCAGCGTTGTCCGCAGCCTCGCCCAGGCTATCCAGCCTCGATAGGGTGACCCTCACACAGCTCTGGGAGAGCCCCGACGCGAGCAGGAGACGGGGCAGCAGCATCTTGGGGATGTGCCTGCATCATAAGAGTGAAGACGCACCCAAGCCAGGTGAGCATTGAACATCGAGAGACGAACGAGAGATGAGTATGACAAAGAACGGAGACTTGGGTACATGGCTGCATAAGAGCGAAGGGGGACACAGCCCGGCGAGTGTTGAACGTTGAGAGAGACGAAACAAGAGAGAGGAGAAGGGTACAGTATATGACACAAGATAACACACCCCCTTGACCAATTTTCGAAGCTCGAAATCTCAACTGCAGGAACAACCACAGCGCCGAAAACGGCGGCGTAAAAACCGTCTCGTCGAGAGCTTTTCGAAAATTTATCGTTTCGTTTATGCATCCTCTTCGTCGTGGAGTAATCGAGCTTTGAAAATCGGTCCACGGGGTGTGTTATCTTGTGTCACATACGGTAAACCAATGACAAGGAGCAAGAACGTAGGCGCGAAAACGTGAGACCTGGGGACCTTGATGGTGCAACTTTCTCCCCAATCTCGTCACTAACATCAGCGTACCGATCGAATGTTGCTCTTTGCCAATAAAACAAAAAGAGACAGCGGTCGGGTGGTGTATCGCCACCACGAAAATACAGCTGCATCCCCCGCTGCTGTGCGCTCGCGAGCGTCCCAACTTGCCGATTAGCTATCCGGCCCTCCCAGCACCCTTTTTCTGCATCATTCCCTTTCCGAACGACAACAACACGCATCCCCTAACCGCCCCCGCCCCCCGCCCAAAAAAAAAAAAAAAGCAGAAGGTCTGGTAGATGGTGACAACAGCTTCTCAAGCACACCAAGGGAGCCTGAAAAAAGAAAAAAGAAAAACATTTTTCGCGGAAGAATTGAGGTCATTCACACAAAAGTGTTGTTCTTTTTTCGGTCTCTCACCGGGCAGCGAGGGCAGACATCTGCTGGGAGGGCGCCTGGGCGAGCCGCACCCAGAGCTTCACGCCCACGGCGTCCCTCACCAGCCCGTCCATCTTCGCCGCCCCCGCCCCTACCAGGGCCGCGGCCGCCTCCGCAGATGCGGCGGGTTCGGTGCCGGTTGACGCCGCCGCTGCCGACGGCGACGAGGATGATGATAGCGGCGTCGCCGCCGGGTGCTCCGAGGGGAACATTAGCTCTTGGAGCTCCTATGGAGCGACGGGGGGGGAAGTGGCGATAATTAATTGGGTAGTGAAAATGGATGTTTGCTGTGTCGCTGGTGCTGGTGTCTTTCGACAAGCACGCTGACAACGAGGCGGGTCGAAAAAAGAAGTTCAGTGGGAAGTGACGGGATTGCGCCCAAACCCATGACTGCGTAGCCGCCGGGTGCTCCGTGGGGAACATCAGCTCTTGGGGCTCATACGGAGCGGGGGTGGGTGGGGGGGGGG